AAATCAAATTGTAAATTTTATATACTCATTTATATGCAAAAATGCATTATTTATAAATTATTTATATAAATTATATAAATATTAATATTGTAGCAAACACGATCTGTTGAAATAGACTTATTGTTAATTGATTGAGTAATTCAAAACAATCATTCAAAATAAGTATGTTACGATCTTTTTCATGCAAGACACATTAGATATAAAATTTATACATAAAACCAATAAAATCACATAAAATTATTCACTACTGAGCTCCTGAACAATTGTAAGCTGTTAAAATACGCAATCTTTTCAATGACAGCCATTCAATATATTGATGTATATTCAAGAAAAGTCTATTATAATTTTCTTTATTTTTTAAAAATATATTGAACGAATAAAATTATTCACACTGCTATATATAATATTCTTTAAACTGTCAAAATAATTGCAATGACAGCTATTCACGAAGTCATAAAAATAAATTTTAATATATAATAACATATAATATATAATATATAATATAATATTATAGAGAAAAATATTTGAATGTTGTGCGTGTTACAATAATTTATGCTATTATTTAATTGAAGCTTTTATCGAGGAGGGTTATCACAGTACAAATCCTTACCACAATAGTGTACATGCTACAGACGTCACTCAGGCAATGCATTGTTTTCTCCAAGAAGAAAAGGTAATTATATATTTATATATTTGCAGATTCACAGACAAATGTAAGCGGATTTTTGATTATTTAATCATTTGATAATTATTTTCTTTAGCTAAATAGAATATGTGATCGAAAGTTATAAATTTGCAGATTAAACCACACCTAACCAATTTAGAAATTATGGCTTCCTTGATAGCGGCTGTAACACATGACTTAGATCATCCTGGTGTCAATCAGCCATTTTTGGTTGCGACGAGTAATCATTTGGCTGCACTTTATCAGGTAGAAATTGTTTAGCTAAATATATTTTTTTTCTTTCATATACTAAATATACTGAGAGAGAGAGAGAGAGAGAATATCATATAATTTTTAAATTTAGCAGGATATAAAAATAAAAACTTGACAATTTTCAGAATACCTCTGTTCTCGAAAATCATCATTGGAGATCAGCCGTAGGATGTCTTCTAGATAGCGGAGTCTCGGCAGAATTACCGGCCGATGTGAGACCGGAACTTCAACGGCATATCAGTTCATTAATTTTAGCAACAGACATTACGAGACAACAAGAGTTTCTTACATGTTTTAGGGTATGATCCATATTATAAGTCCAGTTTTCGTTTTGATTAACGGAATTAATCATCTCGTTGTATGTTACAGGATTATTTAAACCACAATTCTCTCGACATGAAACGCGCGGAAGATCGTCATTTTATTTTGCAAATTGCTCTAAAGTGCGCCGATATTTCCAATCCTTGTAGACCGTGGGATATATCAAGAAAATGGTCTTACAAAGTTTGCGAGGAATTTTTCAGACAGGGCGATTATGAGCGTCGTCTAAATCTTCCGGTAACACCGTTGTGCGACCGACATACCACTAGCATCCCAAAGATCCAGGCTGGTTTCTTTAAGCACGTTGTTACTCCTCTTTATATGGAATGGCACCGTTTTCTTGGCGATGGCCTAAGCGTATCATTAATGGAATACTTGAAGACGAATCAGAAAAAATGGGAAGCATTGATCAATCAAGAGATTGAACAAACAGAAACCGAAATTTCCGAGCTGGACGAACCTGAAGGCGCTATTAGTTCAGGCGAGGAAACAGCTGCCAATGATGATTCAGGCAGTATCGATTTATTAATACCAGCCGCTTACGCACAAACAGCGCGAATGCCGACGCTGCCAGGACGAGTTGGACTCGATCGTGTTGGTAGGCGTCACTCTGTACCTCTAAGCATATCGAAACCGTTGAGTGTACCTTCACGTCAGACACCGAGGAGAGAAAGTCTGCCGAGTGAGCAAATCAAAGGAAAGAGTTCCTTGCAGAAACTAGAAAATCAAAGTCTGTTAGAGCCTAGCTCGTTATCCCTGTTGTCCTCCAAAAGCAGCATAGCTGAGTCATCGAATGTTAGCGCTGAGAGACCAGTTAGTGCGAAGGATCTCCTACCAGAGACGAGTATAGCCAGTATTACCAGCAGTACCGAGGCATCAAAATTAAACACTGTTTTGCAATCGGATGATCAATCTAATGCACAAATCAAGCAACTCACACGACAACAGACCTTTCCTCCGTTGCAACCGTACACAAGAACAAGATATATGTCTACAACCACGGAGATGTCACAATGTTACACTCAGATCTTAATAGAAGCCGACAGTTCTTCCAGTTGTTCAACTCCCACGAAGAACAAATCGTGTTCAAGCGGCCGATGTTGTTCGCCACCATCTTTACATGATTCTGATACATGCTACCAAAAGAAATCCGATACCTTGAAAGTCTCCCAAAAATTATTAATGGTAGATACCAAAAGACGAGGCTCGACATTGTCAAATACGATTAAACAGAAGCATGCTCTCAGCTCGGAGCGCCGTCATTCTATGCAAACTATTCGCACCGATGATTCTTTTTCTAAACATCGGCGCAAAAGATCCTCTTCTGCTCAAGATTCCGATTCCACACAGGTGTTCTATGTTACGTTAACGGGCTCTCACGGAGACAAGAACAATGTTTCTGATATGTCTGCTGTGAAATCTAAATTGAATTTGGATTGTAATGTCAAACGTAACCGTCATAGTGCGAAATTGACAGTTCAAGAACTGCGGACTACGTTATCATCTAAAAAATTAGATCAATGTACTTCATCGGCTAAGAGTGCGTATTTTGATCAAGAGCCGCGAAGATACTCAACCCCTATCACAGAGTATAGAACAATGATTGACCATGCAGGTAGACGATACACCACGATACCAGTGTCTTCTGAGTTTAGCACTCATAAAGTGTTCTTTATCGGTAGTCCTCCCGATTCACCGCCTCGTAATCAGAGTGTGTCCTCGTCGAGTGATAGTAGTGGTGAGCCAAAAAAAAATATCGATGATTCGAGTAACGAAGCTGTTATTATTGGCAGTAAAAGGGAATTGGATTGCACGAAAGAAAAGAATTCGAAAATTATGAAGTTGAGTTCTGACGCGCAGATGAAGGAAAATGTTGATCCCCGTACAAACGACGATTTCGCTAAAACATTAGCGTTGTCTCGTAGAGGAAGTCAGGTAATATAAAAATTAATTCTTAAAGACTCCTCTTAAAGAGTCCACTCTAGTTATATTGGATTATGTCATAAAAACGTAAATTTTTAGTAAATCAGTTTCTTTATATATTTTACATTCTTTATTGAAAATCTATATATGTATATATATGGATTCTCTTCATAAATACACATATATTTATTCTATTTAATAAATACATCATCTATTCTATATACATATTCTTCTATTTGAATATACATGTTCTATCAGCTAAGTCTGTTTGAATAGATCTTGTCAACAAATTAGCAACGAAAGAGCACTAAAATGTATAAGTTTTGTTCGATTGTGCTAAAGTGGCTGTGCCAACTTCTTAGACGTAATTTTGAATTTTAATATCTTAATCAGAAAAGAACTTCTTTCAAAAATATTACAAAAAATCTTTTTTCTTGATGTCTTCGAATTTTATAAGCATCAATAAAAAAGATTTTCTTTTTTTTTCTTTTAATAGATTCATAAATATAGTCATAATCGCCTTTTTTGAACTTTTAACTTTATGCAATTTCAAAGTATTAAAACTAAAAATTGTTAATAACTGTAAAATAATAATTTGACAGAATTAAATTCGTTTTTAACATGCAGAAATGTAAGAATTACGTGATCTAGTTTAAAATAAATATTAATTTTTATGTAGACTTTTTATTAATTTTTTAAACAGTTTAATACTTTTTATGTATCTTTGTTTGCATGGAAATTATGTCGCGTAAATTCTAGAAGTAACGACAAATATATAACTGTTGGATTCGAATATTTGTTACGAAAAAAATATATTGAAATTATTTTTTCTTCTATAAGCGAAATTTGTAAGGTCGTTATTGTTACCGAAAAAAGTAATTGTAACGATAATATGGCGTTACAAGTAACATGTTACTTTTAAAACTGATTTAAATTTGCTATTATTTTTTTCTGTTGTTCTCTCTTTCAATGTTTTCGCCTTTTTATATTATCAATATTTATTTTATGTTATAAATATCTCTTGTAATACTGAATTTTCTCAGGGATGGGCAAGAAGGCGTGGATCAGCTCCGGTCGGTCTTCTATCGAAACTCGATGACTCTAATCCAACTACTGTACCCACCAGAATTGATCATAGTTGTAGACGTGGATCTGTACCGACAGACATCGCTAGACATCAAGGTATATATATATTTTACTTGTAATTTGTAATATTTCTACTTAAATATATAGCATACTAATAAATGCACTCTTCTTTATGTCAGTCGGAGGTTGTAATCGGCTCGCTTTAGGACCTCGAGAAAACAATTTTTTAGCCCTAAGAAGAGCTAGTCTTCCGCAAGAGATTGCACTGGAAAATCTTTCTGAAAATGTCTTGACTTTAACTAGTAAGTACCTTTTAATAATATCATATATATAAAAAATAAAAATATAATTTTACATTAAATTATTTTAGGCGATCGTGAAAGCTTTTCAATCAACAACAATAATAATAACAACAACAATAGCACTAATAACAGCAACAACAATGGCATTAGTAAACTATTCGATAGCAGCGTTTCTGGAATGTTTTCCCCGAGACGAGGATCAGTACCAGCAGACATATCCGAGTTACGCCACGATATGTTCAGTAGAAATAGCGTAAATAGCAAATCACGCAGCCGCAAGAAAATTTTAAAAAGACGAAGTAGTGGGGGCCCGGAAATGTTCACCGGGGAATCCACCGACGGAAACGATAATGGCACATGGCTCAAATGGAAGAGGGAAATAGGAAAGCGCGATCCTGTTCCCGAAGCGCTTGTCAAACGAAGAGGATCTCTACCTATAGAGATGGTGGCTGTTTCACATGCTGGTCGGTACAACCATAGATAAAGGAGGATATCGCGTAATACAAACGGGTACAAATACGTTTTCCGAAAATGCACGTAAATCATCTTTATTGTGTTTTTTTTTTGTTTCATCATATATAAAAAAGTGACTATATTCGAAAAACATAACTTTATTATAAATAACTGCTCACTAAGAGGAAAATGATCAATGAACAGTTTTTTGAACGATCTCGACTGTTTTGGGCATTTTCGATATTCAAAGAAAAAAAGAACATTAAGATTCTATAGAATCTCTTAATTTCTCTTATTTTCTCTTTTATAAATTAACGCAATATATTTGATAGCTTTATTACAATGGAGTGATAAAATTAAAAATAAACACAAACGACTTTATTTATTAAATTTTTGATATTTTAACTTTATAGCAATGTAAATTTATTTTTTAATTTTTGTAATATAACTGATTAACATTATCCGTTTTAATTAAAGCGATCAGATTTTGTCACTAAAAATAATTAAATTTATAATGTTTACATACTAAATGTAATATTGAAAACATAAAAATAGCATTCGCTTTCTAAACATATTGAAATGTATTCATTAATTATAACACGCTCAGTATTGTACAAACAAAAAAATTTAATGTTGCAAGTTTTTCAGATAAATTTTTTTTTTAATTTAATGAAAATATTAAATATGTACAAAAAAGTTCTATTCAAATTTTAACTAAATTTTTTCTTTATTTAGAAATTAACATAATATCTTGTAAGAAAAGGGTCGGAACTGTGCGCGCGTGTGTGCATGCATGTATTAAATATATGAATAGTAATATCTTTATAAACTGTATTTAGTATTGAATTTTTCATTAACAATCTATGAACTTTGCTTTTGCGTAAACTTTTATTTATTTATAATTTTTTAATAAAAAATAAGCGAAAATCTTTTGGAGATTACTTAGGGTCATAATCTTGATATGTCAAAGTTATTGGGATTAGCTTCATTAATCGATATTTATCTAATATATACAAAACCCATTAAATCTGATGAGAGACAGTTCCGATTCTTCCCTTGTGAGAGAAATGAAAATGTACCTGAGAAAATTGCAAAAATAACATAATCTTTTAAAATTCCCAATTGTGTGTTGTATTATCTAAATGCGTTTATGCAATATATGTCGCATTTTTCTCATCTATTTTTTTCTCATTAGAACGACAATAAAATCGTAACATATCGTATATATCAAACAAATCCTATTCTATACATAAGGATTATAATAATAGCAAGATGTTATTTTTAAAATTGGTCTGACAAAATTTTTGCTTGTTTGCTATAGGATCAACATCGGCATCACATAGATCTAGCCTGTGGCGGCTTTAGCGTTCTGTAGAAACACGAGGACCGTCCATGATACTAGTAAACATTGGCAACAATTTTTCCTTGGATTATCAGGGATAATATCAGCGACGATTGATGATTGAATTTCAAGATCGTCGATATTGAAGGTTTTCTTATCGATTGTGAGCATAAACGAATAAATATTGTAGTTATATTTTTGATGGTTTTAATTGTTAGATACATTACAAAGACGATAAACTAATTTACATTTGAATATTTTCAAACCTCTAGTTAATAAGAGGATCTAAGAATATTCTTAGCATATACTATACAAATCGAAATTAATCAGAAGTTTTACTTTTTATTATTAATCGAGAAAATATTGCAAACTTATCATTATACAATAAAATCTCGTTTATTTTGGTCCTCTGGCGAGATAAAAGCGGAAAATTCTTGAAAAACAATTAACAGATACCACCTTCATCATGTGAGGTATCCAATCGCTGTACATTTGCAACTGCGAAGGAAATTACGCACGTAAAATTATTATTTGCATGTCGTCATGTAATCCGTCTGACATAAAAGGGATATGTTTATATTAATATTCGCGAAAATATGTGTGGAGGGGTATCAAAATTAACGGGGTTAAATTTAAAGAGACTCTACTTTGCAAACAACATCAAGATACTAAATCATGTAGTCAATATAAATCAGTGAAGAAATATATGAAGTATATCTTAATATGTATATATAAGAGATACTTCAGAAGTAGATTCAATATTGAAAAATAAGAAAAGAATCTCAGATAAACATATAGCCTGATTTACTTCGTTTCCAAATTATAACTGCTTTTTATATTCGAACAGTTTATACTTTATTTATGTTCATAAATGCTCAAAATGAATGTCTTATATGTACCTGATTTAAAGTCTGCAAACATTTTATCTAAGATCTTATCCATTCGTGAATCTTTAAGTATTGTTTAGAAATTTTTATTATATACCATATTACTACTTTTATTAAAAATAAAAAGAAAATAATAGAAAATTGCATTATACAGTACTTCAATAGACCATTCCAGATAGCCAAATTTGCCAAGAGCATATATATGATATATTACAAATTTGTTATATATTATGTTGACAAAATTCCGGCAATAGTCGAGCATACTTCGCCGTTTTAGCTAATGTTGGCAGAAACGCAACAGAAAACGAACAAGTTATGCTGCCAAAAATTGAATTTATATAATAAAGACGCAGCACATCAAGAAATCATAATTGAATTTGCTGGCATACTATTGGCATACTGCTAGCATTTTACTATCTGGGATGCTTTTCTAGTGAATATTTACTCTTTTATACAGTCACCACAGATTCAAAAAATTTTCCGCTGACATATGTTTTGTCAAGATCACGATTTTGAGAAAAATAAAGATAGATTTAAGATTTTAGCCATTGCTCACACATATTTTGTTTTTAAAAAATTATTAAAAAATAAGAGTTTGGCCACTCAAATGTTTTTTATAATGAACAAAAAATAAAAATTGATAAACCGACTGATAAAATATAAAATTGCACGGTTTGTTTTATTTGATGGACTTTAAATTTTCCACGCAGAAAGATTTATCCCACATCACGCGATACTTTTAGTGCGAAGCTAAATTACACAGTTTCATGTAGATTTCTAATCTTCCGCGTAAAGCGAGATCTCCACATTGTCTGATTGAAAGTTCACACACACATACACACACATACGTACGCACGCACACAAAACATATCTTCTTTTTCACTATCTACTTTTGTATCTGAAAACATTAGACAAAGATGAGATTATCTCACTTTACACGAAAAATTTCAAATCCATGGTAACATATTTACAATTACAGATCTTGTTTCACAGCAAAAGCACTGAGCGATGTGAGGCGGAGTTTGCTTCCATGTAAAGAGATCCACTCTTTTTTCCGTCTACATTTATATATTTATTGTTCAATTTTTTATATTTTTGAATACTTTGTATAAAAATCTATGTGTCTGCTCAGAATATATGTGTACATATGCATAGTAATATCTACATAAACTAATTTATCATTATTAGTTTGTGTTTGAACCTCCTTTTGGATAAACTTTCATTTATTTATAATTTTTTAATAAACAATGAACAATGACTAAAATCTTTCAAAGATTACTCAGAGACATGACCAATGTATGTCAGTTGGAAGATCTTTAAGTCTGATTATATGTGTAAAGATAAATATTTCACCTCACATAAAAGTTGTATACATATAAAATATAAAGCGTTCTAAACATTTCAATGAAGTCATGTAATAATTCACAAGATAAATGTATAAAATAACTCATGAATTTATTAAAACATAAAATTAAATATAATTTAAAAAAACAAAGTAAAATAGATCATATATTTATATAAACCGTTTATTCTTTTTTATGTTAAATTCTCTCATGAAATGTGTCTCACATATTGAGATATTATATAAGCATTATATACTGTATAAGAATTATATGCTAATGTCTTCCTTGCAATTCATGTGTCCGTGTGGGAGAAGTAAACAAAACCCACCGAGGTAAACTCTCTATTTGTGCCACATACATGAAAGTTATTCAGAATGCCTCATTCAGGAAACAAAATGTATTTAACCATGGTTCAATTTAAATTTAGTAATCGAGCTCATTAAAGAATAAAAAGAGAGAGGGAGAAAAAATATGGTCATATGCATAGAATTTATAATATGACAATTTTTTAATAATTAAAATGCTTATGAATGGAGAAGGAAAAAAGACTGGTAGAGGACATTCGCCGCTATATACTTATACGCTGAAAGAGACGTAGGTTGAAAAAAAAAAACGAAATAACATTTGCTCACAGCTAGGCAAAAATTACGATTTTCGAGAGATTTACAGCAGAATAACATCAGGCCATTAATTCAATTCAATAATTAATGAATCGCGATATATGTTTTAATATTAAATTAATGAATTTATTGACCTTTGACATTGATTTTTCTATAATTTAACAATTGTATATATTTTACATTGAACGTATATAACATGAAAGCTAATCAAAGAATTTTATTGTATTTTTAAATCTAGAATAATAATTCAGGCTAACAAAAGCTGACTTTATTTACTCTAAAATAAATATATAAAAAAAACGAAAGAATAGTTTTCTTTAGTTCTTATCAATTAACAAATATAAACAAGCATTCCACGAAAAGAGTAATATACAATGTAAAATAAAAATTAGTTAAATAATAAAATAATAATAATAATAATAATTGCATGAGACGACTTCCTACGTAGAAATTGTTGAATTAAACAAATCCAACATTGGTTTAATAACATCGGATATCAGCATGTCACTATTTGTGTTCAATTATATCTAACTAATATATCTAATGTTCTCGATGTTCAAGTAGACACATACACATTGTTGCCTCGTTATTGATTAAAAGTCAAGTTTATAATATTCTAATTTAAAAAACAATGTTCAATGCAGGATAACATTGTAGTACTGTGCCAATAGTGTTTATTAGTTTCTTCGTTTATACGGCTTATTATTATCATGACTATTGTATTCAAGTTTCTGCTACATATTACATAAAGCTCGCGAAGAAAGCGTGGATAATAAATAGCGGAGAAAAAAAAATATAATATTTATGTTTATCATATCTAAAGAATATATTTTAATATTTGACTCGATCCCTAAAACGGATTCAGAATATTAAAATAATTTTATGGCTATACTTGACAGAGATTTAACAAAATTAAATATCAATCAATACTAATTTCACCGACATTATCTTCAAAATACTATGCTAATTGTATATCTTTGTTGCACTAATACTGACACATATCTTTTTGGTCAGTTTTGCACAATTAATCGCAAAATAATTGTTGTAAATATACTCTTGTGAAGGAGTGTTTTACTAGTCTAATTTTGCAGCAGTATTGTATATAATTGTCACGATATCCGCTCGGTGTTGAACCGTTTCTAAATTTCTACGTAGGTTCCCTGATGGAAATATTTTACTTTAGAAATTATGATAAAATCATACGGAAATAGTATTGAATCACATATTGAAATCTCTATAAATTGTTCTATTTTCATTGTAATTTTATTGAAATTTTCATAAAAATTCACAGAAAAAGTTATCATAAAAATTATAATTAATTTTAGCTTCAAAATTTGTAATATCCAATTACTTTTTATTGTAAAAATTCTGATTTATATTAAATTAGATTCAGTCATTTTTATTTGCATGTTCAAATAATTTATCAGTAATTTCAACAGAATATTTCCATTAGGGTGATCAATAATCTTAATGGTGCGGAATTCTATTACAGGATATTGCCCACGCCTATTCTGTGGGTTCAAACGCCACAGGATGGACCTGATGAGCAAAAACCTGACAAATAAATAATAATAATAATAATAATAATAATAAAACAATAATAAAATAGTAATAATACTAAAAATAACAACGGTAGTAGCAACAATAAAGTTGTTATACTATTACTACTTTTATTATCGTTCATAATTCCGTTATCATCAGCCTTGTTATCATCATTATATCATTGTCGTCGTTATTATAATTATAACAATATTCAAATAAATAGACGTTTTTACCATTAGATAGCGATTATAGCGATATACATATATGCTCTATGCGGTTTATCTTCGAATTAATTAGTTAGCAGAACGTTGTTTAATTATGTAATTATTATTTATTATTGACAGTTGCCATGCGTAGATTTATGGTACGTGAATTGAAATAAATCAAAAGCTACAAGATGCATATAACAAAAGTTGTATTAATGCGCGAACATATTTTCAATATAAATATTATTAAACTGCCTTTGTCCGTAAATACGATAGCTAATGTGAATTCCGAATTTTTAACGATATTTGTACGTTATTGGAATTTTATCATCTGCACCGAGTTTTGATAATATTGTTATTTACATTAAAAAGCACAAAGAGCGAATTAGATCTTCCATCTCGTTCGCGGTTTATTACATACTTCACGTACTGTTATAATCTGTCGTACTCAGATAATCCCCGAAAGTAAAATAAATAATATTACTAATAATAAGTCTTATAGAAACTCAAATATATATACACAGGGTGATTCAAAACAAACTGATGTTCTTGAAATATGATATTCATGAGCGAATTCTGAGACGATTTCTCCTTTTACAAAATTTTGTCCGAAACTTAGTTTTTGAGTTATAATTGAAAATAGTAGCTACTTATGAGTCCGATACAACGGGCAGGCAGGGACGGCGCAACGCATTACGAGATTAAATTTTACTTCACAATTTCATAATAAATATTACTGGAAACATTATTGTTTTTACTACAGTACTTTATTATCACCCGCAAATACCAATTTCCACACAAATTAAAACTACGTATACAACAGTCAGAAAGTAAACAAACTATCCTTCATAAATAATAATAGTAAATCGGTTGTATTTATCGTGGGATTTTATGCCTTAATTTGTGCGGAAATTGATATTTGCGATAATAAAGTACTGCAATAAAAAGTAATGTTTCCAATTATATTTATTGTGAAATTGTAAAGTGAAGTCAGGTGACGCGTTGCGCCGTTCCTGCCTGCCCGTTATATCGGACTCGTAAGTAACTAATTATTTTCAATTATAACTCAAAAACTAAGCTTCGGACAAAATTTTGTAAAAGGAAAAAGTCTCAGAATTCGCTCATGAATGTGATATTTCAAAGACATCAGTTTGTTTTGAATCACCCTGTATAGGAAGAATAAAGAATATATCAAGTTTAAGTTTTACAATTAATCAAAAATAATTATTGGTATCTATGTCGATTTTCTAGATAGATTTTTAAAGAATATTTGCGAACACTAGCAGTCTTTTTCTTATTGATTTTCCAAAATCTTGATCCAGCAATTAACAACGCTTTATGTGTCTTTTACTTTCTTATGAGAACTATATAATTTATGATGTCACATCTTTTTAATAATGCACATATAATAAATATATATCGTGATATTTCCTACGGTTACAACACCTTCAAAATAAATAATTATGTTTTTACAATATCTATTACGGGACACGTGATACTTGCAGGACACGCGCTAACGCGTGACAATGAAACATTATAAAACTACGTTAATACCTAGATTAATATAAAATTTCCTATTCTTTTAACTCCATAAAAAAGATATATATACACACGCATTATGTAATTAATATACGAATGATAGGCTGGAAACATTAAAACAAAGAAGAAACAAGGAAATTTAATTAACAAATTAATTTAATATATAATAACTTCTTAAGGAATTTATCTTTATCAGATAGACCAAGCAAATGGGACTAAACAAGAAACTTTTTGTAAAAATTATAATTGACTTAAACTTACTTGGAATAAATATAACTTTCTCAGTACTTCTATATGACCATGTTGTCCAACCACTTTTTGAAAAATTTATTGCACCTCTAGGCATACATGTTCCCTTTTGTCGAATTACCTCACTGCTCTATTAAGGCTTAATAATTGATGTTTTTTAACAAAAATGAATAGATAAATAGAAGATTTTCAAAAAAACATATTTTCCTCTTCC